GGTGGTGGAAATGGTGGTGGTAGAGGTGTGTCTGCATGTATTTACGTGTGTACGTATGTCCATGCACATGCCATGAGACGCCCGGCTCTTCACACGTGCTTCCTGCACCAGCATCATGCTGAGGTGGGGAGGAGGGCTGCACACCTGACGGAGACTGTCGAGTTGAATCTTAGCCTGAGAACCCAGGAGCCTGTGTGGCCACAGCCTTGCCAAGAAAGCCCTTAGAGGGTTCTGCAGGACGCCCTCGGCCTCCCTAGGAGGAGCAGCCGGAACACGACCTCCCACCGCTCCACTTCCCTCCACTCTGCGCTTCGGCCTCACTGGAGTCTCTTACCTGTAAGCCAAAAGCTGCTCATCCAGAGCAGGCTGGCACACCTGTGCGCCTTCAGCAAAGACGCTCTGGGCACCAACAAGCTGTCAGGCCCTGTCCTGGGCAAGGGGCTCAGCAGGAATTGGGACAGACCCTGGTGCCACCATCCTCTGGGGCTCACATCTGGTGAGGGACAGTCACGTGAGCAGCCTTCACAGACAGGTATGACTTTGGCAGAAAACACACAATGTCGTAATGGATGGAGCTCTCCAGGTTGGCCTCTCCGGAGAGGTGACAAGGAAGAACATCCAGACCGAAGGGGCTGCACCTGCAAAGGCCCTGTGGCACAGGGGCCCCAGAGGATCCCGAGGACACCCGCAGCCTACGCACCCAAGACTTGTCCGACAAGCACCTCAGGCTGCACACCGCCACTGCGAGCTTTGTCTGGGAAGCTGACAGTTCAACCTGGGGCCACCCTATACTCCTGTCTCCTCTCACACGCTGCATGGACCCACCAGCCACCTCTGAGGCCCCAGCATCTCAAATCCATCAGCCCCTGGTCACCTCCACCTCCTCCAGCTGACCCAGGCGGCCCCAGCTCAAGGCGGATTGCACTGGTCTCCCCACGAGGACCGCCCCCTGGTTTGTCCCTGGACTTCTCTGCTGGTGAGGGCACAGGATGTTTAGAGGATAGACCCCCAGAACTGCCACTCACAGGTGACAGGGCAGGCTCCCCACCCTCTCCAAGCTCAGCTTCCACAGTTGTCCTCTGTGGCTAAGGATAACGAAGCCTTGCAGGATTGGGGAGCAAGACTTAAGGCGTGAATGCATATGAAGCCCTTACCCAAGGTCTCCCTGGGGCCACCGGGTCACCAAAGCTCTGACACTGATCCCTGCATAGTGACACTGCCCAGGTTGCGTCAGGGGCTGTCCTTTAGCTCCCCTACCATGGCACTAGGCACTTGGAACTCAGAGGGCCCTTCCCGGATGTCCTGGACCCCAGCCTTTCAGTATGGGGTCCAATATGGGGTGTGGTCCCTGAAGCCCAGCCTTTACCCCAAGACCAGACTAATCACCACACCCAAAAGAGCGAGGCCCGCATCCCTGTCCTGCAGAGGGCCGGCCAGTGTCACACAGAGCTGAGGACTGGAGCAGAGGCCAGGTGGCCCCTCCTCCGCCGAGCTCTCCAGGTGCTCACTGCACTCACATAGGAGGTAACCCAGGCGGGGTTTAAAACGCTGTGTTCATTTAATTCAGCTCGGGAGAGAGAAAGGGAGCGCGCAGTCTGCGTGAGCAACTCCAAACAGAAATAAACGAGGCACAAGCAGTCTCCAAAAATAGTGCTGCGTTAGAGGCAGCAGCCCGGGCCACGCAGCAGCTGTCCCCAGCTCTGCCTCTCTGCTGATGAGCAGCATCGTGGAGAGGGCTGGCAAGACGGCTTTACAGTGTTTACTCCGGAAGAGATTAATCAGGCCTGCAATCCGAAGATGAATTGTGAGAAAGCAAGAACAGCCTGAGGATGCTCAGGGTGCCCGGGGGGCCCTCTCACGGCCAGCATGGGGGTGGCTTGGCCAGGGAGGTTCCCCTCCATACTCAGAATGACCCCCAGAGGACGAGACTGTGGCTGGGCACCCATGAGGCCAGCTTCTGGAGGAACAGAGCAGCAGGGGCCAAGGGCATCGTGAGGATTTGTACTTGGGTCTTCACTTCATTAGGATGGACACCACCTTTTTTTAAACTGTGATGAGAGGTGTGCAGATCACACCTGAGGGCACCTCAGCCCACACCTCCAGCCCAGTGCTGGTTCTTTGAGAATAAAGCTTTATTGGAACACAGCGGTCATCTCTGGCTGCTTTTGCACCCTGCCGTTGAGCAGTTGCAACAGGGACTGACCAGCTACAAAGCCTGCAACATCTCTGGTTTCTTATCATATGCTTAAGCATCCCAGGGAAGCATCTGCCCAGGAACAACGGCAACTGATGCTGGGTTTGGGTCTGGTGTGGTTTCGGTTTGCTGATGTTTATTAGGGGCTTTAGAGGCATCCTTTTAAAAAAAGAAATCTGCAATACTTTGATTTGACTTGTATAAAGTAGAGGGGTTGGCCAGGATGTTTAGTCATGTGGTCAGCCTCCAGCCCCACCCTACATGCTTCTCAGTCAGGAATGCCCACCTGCTGCCCGCAGGCCCATGGGCTGTCAGTGAAGGGTCCTCCCACAGTCACATGGGCCACCTGCCAGGCCCCCCCTGCTGTTCCATTCCCCATCCATCTGGCAGGGGAGAGCAGGCCGACTCCACTGAGCTGGGCGGGAGAGACACCTGCTCCTAGGGGTCCTTCTCCTTGGGGTGCACTGACATTGCCCCGTGTCCCTCGACTCCCATGAATCATGGAGAGCTATTTCAAACCTCAGACCATGGCAACGCCTCTACCCCCGGGACAACGCCGCTCTCAAGGGAGGGGATCCTTTCCACGGACCACAGAGCCAAGCACAGAATTAGCTTTGGCCTTTCTACTTGGCCCGTCTTGAGCATTTGAAATTTCATATGATGTGTCACTGGGCACGTGTCTCCCACAGACTGACACAAGGAGCTTTTTAAACCAAAGGTCTGCGTTTGCATGAAGGCTTTGGGGACCGCTTGCACCCACCTCCACTCAGGTTGGGGCAGGAGGACAGAGATGTCACTGCTGAGCACACACCAGGCTCTGCCACGGGACGCCCCCACCCTAGGAAGAGGCCACCCAGTGTCCAGTGGATCTATTACATTCCCCTTCCTCCCCCAGAGCCAGGTTTTGATTGGGGACAGACCAAATGCTACCAATCACAATCACCCTGCTGCCGAAATGGGTCTGCCTTCTGGGTATCAGTTATTAGAGTGGATTAGCGTGTCAAATCCCCAGGAGAGGAGGTTATGATTTCATCAAAGAAAAACTCAGCAGAATCCTGGAGCTGCCTGGGAAGTCAACCACACAGGCAAAGCAGACCCCAGTAACCAGGAGTGCGCCCAGGACAGCAGCAGGAGCTCCCGGCAGGTCGTCTTGCTTCATCAAAACAGTACACAGACCAAGGAGAAGTCCTAGAGTCGGCACGGGAAGCAAGGATGGTAGGTGGGGCTGGGACCTGGGGCCTGGGGTGCAGCGGAGGAGGGTGTGTCATGGGAAGGGTGTGTGTGAAGCAGGGTGGAGGCGCTGTCCTGGACCCCGATCTGAGGTCTTCTCTACAGAACGCGTCTTGGACTTGCCACTCGGTGCACCTTCAAACTGCCCTGCCTCGCGGGGGTTCAACAGACGACTTTTCAGCTCTATAATGGGCTTATCACAGTATTGGGTGCCTTTTCAACATAGGACACTTTCGAGTTAGGAGGGGCTCATCAGACTGCAACCCTGTCGTCGGCTGAGATGCATCTGAACCCAGCCGTGCCATCGTGGTGTGAGAGGCCAGCAGCCAGGGACCATGCAAGTAGGTGCTAGGTGCTGAGCGCCCATGCCCCACACCCAGCGTTGAAGCCCCAGCTCCCCATGAGTGGCCCTAAGAGGCGCGGCTTGGGGAGGTGACCAGGGCCATGAAGTAAAGCCCCACATGGGAGGCTTGAGCTGCTCTCCACCTTGGGCCCTCGGCAAGCGGGAAGAGGGCAGGGACATAGGTGACAGGGACAGAGCTGAGAGCGCCTCCATCTCAACCTTGCATTTCCAGCCTCCAGATCTGTGAGACGTGTGTCTGTTGTGAGCCACCTCATCCCTGATATTTTGTCACGGCAGCCGGAGCCAAGACAGGCAAGCGTGGCTCTGGGCCAACAAAACGTCACCGCGGACACTGAGGTTCGAAGTCCGCATCCCTTTTACGAATCATGAAATAGTACCTTCCTTTGGTTTTTTCCTGCCGTTTTAAAATGTGAAACCTCTCCTAGCTGGGGCTGTGCAGAAACAGGCGATGGGCTGGATTTGGCCGTTGGGCTGCAACAGTTTGCCGGCCCCCGCCCAGGGCACGGACAGAGGCCTCCTCCCTCCACTCACCACTGACCTGACAACGGGTCGGGATCCTGGTGCCTCGGTCATTTTAGGAAGGATGTGGACAAGTGAAAACACCCTTGAGAGAGCATGGCCTCCGTGTCAGTGTTCCACAGAGAGGCCACTGAAGGCTGGCTGAGCCCGTGGGGCTCTGGACTCTCACTGGAGCGTTGGATCCCTGCTTCCCGGTCACTGGCTAACAACTCACTGACCCCTTCTCAGCTCCCATGTGCCACGGGCACAGTCACCAAGCCAGCCTGCAGGGTTTCATAAGGCTTGGGGGTGACGGCCACGCATCCAAGGCATCGGCCAAAGAGAACTGTGTGGGCTTAAGGCAGAAGCCTGGGGCCAAAGGATGAAAAGAAGACCCTGGAGGACAGTGTCCAGCTGAAGAGCGAGGCCAAGAGTCCTCAGACACTTGAAGGCCTGTCACACCACCGAGGGACTTGATTTGTTATTGTCCCTACCAAGCAAAAGTGGGGAAGCCCATCTCAGATCACACAGGGACCTTATTGTCATCCCAGTTGTCCCCGCTGGGACATCTGCTTAGAGTTCCCGAGGCCGGAGGCATCGAGACCCACCAGCACGGGAACTTGCCAAGGAGTGTGCATCCTCTCGAGCCCCTTGGGAAATGTGCCTGCCCATTTGTGAGTCCCATCAAAGTGGACTTGTTCAGTCCTGTTCCTTGAGGGAAATACCTAGATGCCGGGAGAACTGCTGTGCAGTCCCCGCTTAGCAGGAGATTTCTGATGGTCCCAAGACCAGCCTTGTTCTGGGGTAGGCTTGAGAGGACAGGATACGGCAGCACCCAAGGTTGATCCAAGAGGCATGTGTCACCTCGGCCTGTATGTGGCCCCAATCCAGCAGAGATGTCCGCCACCTACTGGAAATGGAAGCAGAACTTGGTGCCTAGCCTTGTCTGTAACAGGCACACGCCAGGACAGACAGTCTCCTACATCAGGAGCATAGAACTTTCCGGAAGCCCCATCTTCCCTGTGTCTCAGGCCACCCCAGCTAGGAGATAATTTGGGAAGTGGGGTCATAGGTGACAGCTGGGCCTGCCAGCAAACGTATCTGCCAAGTTGGCTTCCTAGCTTAAATAGGTCTCCACGAGGGCAGGGGTACTTCCTCTTATTGTCCAATTTTCTTCTTTTTACTGTGGGAGAAGACACATTGTGAGTCTTACTGTTTTAACTGTTTTAAGGACAGCTGAATGGTATAAAGTACATTCATGGTGTATCTCATCGTGGTTGGATCTGCAGTTCCCTCGTGACCAGTGACGTGACCGTGCGCTTACTGATTAGCAAGTTGGCTTTGGGGGAAATGTGTTCTAGTCCTTCGCCCATTTTCCAACCAAGTTGCATGGTCTTCTCCTGCGAGCCTCAGGACTTCTCTGTGTAGTCTGGGTATCAATCTCTTACCAGGCAGAGGATGTCTAAGTATCTTCTCCTGTTTTACTGTTTTGTTTGTGTGTTTGTTGCTTTGTTTTCCAGTATCAGGGCTTGAATCCAGGGGCAATTAACCACTGAGCCACATCCCCAGCCCTTTTTATTTATTTTATTTATGCATTTATATATTTATTTATCTATCCATTTATTTTTGGTACCAGGGATTTGACCCAGGGGCTTTTTGCCCCTAAGCTACATCCCCAGTCTTTTTTTTTGAGACAGGGTTTTCCTGAGTTGTTCAGAGCCTGGCTAAGTTGCTGACTCTGGCCTTGAACTTACAATCCTCCTGCCTCAGCCTCCTAAGCTGCTGGGATTACCAGCAGGCACCAACATGCCCAGCACCTTTCTTACTGTTGACAGTGTCTTTTAAATTAAGTATTTCTTTTTTTTTAAAGCTATAGATGGACTCAATGCCTTTATTTGTTTTTGTTTTTTTTTTTTTAGTGTGGTGCTAGGATTGAACTCAGTGCCTCACACTTGCAAGGCAATGGGCTACAACTCCAGCCAAGTATTTCTTTTTTTTTTTAATACTTATTTTTTAGTTGTAGTTGGACACAATATCTTCATTCCATTCATTCATTTTTATGTGGTGCTGAGGATCGAACCCAAGACCCTGCACATGCTAGGCAAGCGCTCTACCTCTGAGCCACCACCCCAGCCCCTAAATTAGGTATTTCTGACTTTGTCACCCAGTATTGGACAGTCGCCTCCCTCCCTGGCCTAAAGTAACTTTAATTAAAAAGAGTTGGCAGGTGTCTGAAGAATCACAATTTAGTTTTAAGGGCCAGGGCTGCAGCTGAGGTTCGGGGCTGTTCTGTGTGTCTGAAACGGCAGAGTGTCTGCTGAGCCCGAGGTCTGCTTGGCGGGCGTGGGCTTTCTCCCACCCTGAGGTTCCGTCGTCGCTGCGTGGTCTGTGATGACGGCGTGGATAAAGTCTGTGTTCACAGACCTGTTCTGAGCTGGGACCAGAGTATAACTGTGGCCCCGTTCCCTGCGGATCTGGGGTCACCTGTCCAGGGTCGGAGGTTCAGGGGACAGTGAAGCTAGATGTGCATGAGGACAGAGCCCCAATCTGAAGCAGAACAGCCTTGGCTCTGGTGCCCGCCTGGCCACTGGTGGCCGGGTGGCCTTGGGGGCTATCTGATATTTGTGGAACTTTATTTCTTCTAAAGTGCATTTCACGGTGAGGGCTGGCGGCACACCCCAGCGGGGCTCAACATGGGCCCTGCCTCCTGCACCTCCCTCTGGTGTCTCCCTGTCTCTCTTCCATTCCCACTTTCTCCTTCGCTCTTCCTCTTGCTCATCTCCCAGGCCTCTGCTCTCTTACTCGGTGCCCAGCTCAGGGGGTGAGGAAAGCCCCCCACAGTCAGTCTGCACCATCCCCTGACCGGGTAGGGCAGGGGATGGGAGC